GGCCTGGCGGGACGGATTTGGCCCGCGGGCCTTGTGTTTGACACAAGTGATATAAGCCTTAAGGAGTGGAAACTGTTTTAAAAGACACCTGACCTCACACCTGCATTCCATCTGCACCCAAGTCCACCTCCTCAGCCCTCAGACCCACAGATAACATAGTTTCCCGCCAGTGGCTGCATATGAGGATGAAACTCCAGCTCCTGGGTGCTGCCATCATCAACCCAATGTCCCCTTTGCTCGGTGCCGTGCAGCCCTTCCCTTTTGGATATCCCGTCCCCTAGCCCCTTTTCTTAAATAAATTCAATTTTCTTTAATCCCTGTCTTGAGATGGCTATTTAGCCTGCTTGTGTGCACCAACCACATTAACCTTTCAGAAAGGAAAGGGAAAAAGGAAGACATTGAAAAATAATCTACCTGCCCATTCACTACAATAAATATGAAATCCTAAGACTTTGCTTGTTAATTTATTTACTCTTTGTTTTACCATATGAAAAATCATTAGAACAGGGCCTGCCAAATGTAAATATTATAAACTTTTACCGTTACTTCCCTCCTCTATCAAGTATACTTTTAGTTTAGACCCTAGAAAATACTGTCAAATATTGTCCCACTTGCTGTTCCAATTGAGACAAGCAGGAAGATCTCTGGACTTCTGTTCTATTTTGGGGAAGAGGGGTTTTGGGTGAAGGGAGAAACCCAGTTGGTTTGATAACAGAAAATCCTGCCTCAATGCTGCCATCTAGTGTTTACTTTATAAAACTAGAAGGACCATTTTAAAACTGTTTTGTTATTGGATCCCAGGTTTGGGGAGATTTTGATAACCAAAAGTACACAACAGAACTTTTGGCAGTATTGAGGTGTAAATGAGGAACTACAGAGTTAATATTTCTATTCCCATTTTAAAGATAAGGCAATAGAGGCTTAGACAGTTTAATTTGCCTTCTTTTCTTGAAGCTAGTTGAGAAAATAATATATACGGTGTGGCTCAGTGGTTGAACATCGACCTATGAATTATGAGGTCATGGTCATGGGACAAGTGCCTGGGTTATGGGCTGGTTCCTCAGTGGGGAATATGCAAGGAGGCAGTCAATCAATAATTCTTTCTCATCATTGGTGTTTCTATCTCTCCCTCTCCCTTCCTCTCTGAAATCAATAAAAATATGTTTGTTTAAAAAATGATCTTTATTGTTGAAAGTTTTATAGATGTAATCCTTGTTTATTTTCCCATTGACCCCCTCCACTGCACTGAAAATTATTTTATAGAAGAAAATAATTAAAAAACAATAATCTCTAAAATCCAGTCACTTAATCTTTTTTAATATTTCGATGTATATCTAAAGTTTTTAAAATATATATATATTTTATTTATTTTTTACAGAGAGGAAGAGAGATAGAGTTAGAAACATCGATGAGAGAGAAACATCAATCAGCTGCCTCTTGCACACCCCCCACTGGGAATGTCCCCCAACCAAGGTACATGCCCTTGACCAGAATCGAACCTGGGACCCTTCAGTCCACAGGCTGATGCTCTATCCACTGAGCCAAACTGGTTTCGGCGTATATCTAAAGTTTTAAATGTACATTTGAATGTGTAATTTTTAAAGTAGCAACATGCTAAATGTGCAGTTTGTCTTTTTCTTAAAGATATATTTGTGCCATGGCTGGGTAGTTCAGTTGGTCAGAGCATCATGCAGATACACCCATGTTGCAGGTTCGATCCCTGGTCAGGGTACATACAGAATCAAACAATGAGCCTTAGCTGGTGTGGCTCCATTGGTTGAGCGAAGTCCCATGCACTAGAAGGTTGCCATTTCAATTTCCAGCCAAGACACATACCCACGTTTCAAGATAGATTCCCCGTTGGGGTACACAGGGAGACAAAAGTCTCTCTCATATGGACTTTTTTCTCTCTCTCTGTCTCTTCCTCTCTCTCAAAAAAAAAAAACTTTTTTTAAAAGGACATTGTAAAGAAAAAACTTTCTAACTTTTACCATTAAGTAGGGTGTTGTAGGATTTTTTTAAATTTTTTTATTTTTGCAGATAACTTTATTTTCCTTCTACTCCTGTTATTGAAAAACCCAAGTTGGGCTGCTCGCTGCTCTAAAGCCAATACTCCAGAGACAAGCGTTGGGTGAAAAGGGAAAGTTTCCTTTATTCAGGAAGATGGCAGGCTAATGTCCAAAGACATCTTCAAAGTTCCACACCAAGCAGAAGAATGTTAAAGGGGAGAAAGAAGGAGGAAGAATTCCAGGAACTGAGAAAGAAGTCTGTGTTTCTTCAGCCACAAATAACACTTTTTCACATCAGATTTCCGGGCATCAGAAGCCGGTCTCAGCTACCTTGAAGACATTCTTTCCTTCTGCAGCATAAGCTCATAACTACTCCTGGCCACTCTGCAATTATCTCCTGTTTGACAAAGAGACAGTACATCAGCAATTTATAACTTCATTCCTGAGAACAAAAAGAGTTGAGCAGAAAAGGCTGTTAACATGTGAACAAAGGTCTGATTAAGAATTAAATTATTTAATTCAAGCTGCCAAAAATACTAGGGGCATTAAAGTCAAGGGGCTTGCCTGGCCAGCATGGCTCAATGATTGACTGTGGACCTATGAACCAAAAGATCACGGTTCAATTGCCCGTCAAGGCACATGCCCAAGTTGCTGGCTCGATTCCCGTGTGGGACATGCAGGAGGCAGCTGATCAATGATTCTCTCTCATCATTGATGTTTCTATCTCTCTTTTCCCACTCTCTGAAATAAATTTGTAAAAAAAAAATTCACAAGGGGCCTAAACTGGTTTGGCTCAGTGGCTAAAGTGTCGGCCTGTGGACTGAAAGGTCCTGGGTTCGATTCTCATGGGGGCATGTACCTTGGTTGCGGGCACACCCCAGTAGGGGGTGTGCAGGAGGCAGCTGATTGATGATTCTCTCTCACTGGTGTTTCTAACTCTCTATCCCTCTCTCTTCCTCTCTGTAAAAAATCAATAAAATATATTAAATAATAATAATAATAAAAAAGAATGTCAACAGATTAATTAGAAGTTGCCAATACATTTTTTAAAAAATTCACAAGGGGCTTGGTTACACTCCTGGTTTTCCATGAGACCTACGAAGTAAACATTTTTAACTTAATAATTTCTTGACATTTGAGGTGATCATATTTTCTCCATTAATCAATAACCTTTTTTGTTGTTGTTGTTGATCCTCACCTGAGAATATTTTTCCATTGAATTTTAGAGAGTGGAAAGGAGGGGAAGAGAGAGAGATAAAGCATCTTTTTGAGACACATCGATTGGTTGCCTCCCACATGCACCTGGACCAGGACTGGGGCAGGCCAACACCCTATCCACTGAGCCAAAAGGGTTAGGGCAATCAATTTCCTTTAATTCTTATGCTAAAACAACCTAACTGGCTCATAGTGTATCATTCTTTTTAAATACTAGATTTGGTTAACTTTTTGCTTATGAGTTTCTATATCTACATTTATGAGCAAAAACTGGCATATGATTTACCTTCAATTTGCTGTTCCTGTTAGGTTTTCCTATCAGGGTTATATGAGGCTTCATAAAAAATTGAAGTGGCTGAAACCGGTTTGGCTCGGTGGACAGAAAGGTCCTGGATTCGATTCCGGTTGTGGGCACATCCCCAGTGGGAATGTGCAGAAGGCAGCTGATCGATGTTTCTAGCTCTCTATTCCTCTCCTTTCCTTTCTGTAAAAAAAAACCAATGAGACAGCTGAAGCTGGTTTAGCTCATTGGATAGAGCCTTGGCCTGAGGACTCAAAGGTCCTGGGTTCAATTCCAGTCAGGGGCATGTACCTTGGTGGCCGGCACATCCCCCAATCCGGTGGGGGATGTGCAGGAGGCAGCTGGTCAATGATTCTCTCTCATTGATATTTCTAACTCTCTATCCCTCTCTCTTCTTCTCTGTGAAAAAAATCAATAAAATATATTTTTTAATCAATAAAACATATTTTTTAAAAAGTTGAAGTGTTCACTGTCGTGTGTGTGCGTGCGCGTGTTTGTTCAAAGATATTTTTCTTGATTTCAGAGAAGAAGAGAGAGGGAGAGATAGAAACATCAATGAGAGAGAATCTTTGATCGGCTGCCTCCTGCACATCCCCCACTGGTGATCAAGCCCACAACCCCAGCCTGTGCCTCAGGCGGCCGCTCTATCCACTGAGCCAAAACCGGCTAGGGCTGTTCACTCTTTTTGTCGCCCATTCCCCATGTATCTGGAAGTATTTGATTACGATGGAAATTTTGTTATTTACCTTATGTTGGGTTGGACTTGCCCAAGACCCGAGGCTGCCTGGAGTCTGCTTTGAGGGAAGATTGTGGACTATTCTTTTAAAGTTTGTTAAGCGTTTTGCATACGGACAAAGCTCCTCCCTGGACCTCTCCATTCCCGAAAGCTCTGCAGGGACCTCGGCCCCAGAACTGGGGAAACGCGGCCAGGAGGCGGCCGCAGCCGCCCTGGGAGGAAACCAACCGCCAGAGCCCCCCGGGATGCAGCCGGGCCCGCAACAACGCCCGTTGTTTCCCCGGAAACCATGTGGTGACGTCACCACGCGGCAACGTCGACCGCGCGTGGATACGCGCAGGTCCTACGTCTGTATCGGGGCGTGTTTCCTTCCGCGCCGTGCCCGGACACCTGCTTCTCCTTCGGCCCAGCTTTCCCTTCTAGGAAGGAAGGGGGCGGGGGGCGTCTCTATTCCCCAAGAGCGAGTGGAGTCAAGGAAATGGCGCCACCCTAGGTGCCGCGGAAGGTACCGAAGCCTCCACTGCGGCGCCGGGGACTCGCTAACGGACCGTCACCTCCTACAGGCCCCGCCCCCAGGGCCACGTGACGGCCCGGCTATCACGTGATTTTCCGCGGCTCGTGGTTGCTCTTTTGTTTTCTGGCGCGAGTGCCTTTCCCGCTGCTGCTCTCCTTCCCCACCCGCCTTGTTCCCCTTCCCTTGGCGCGTGCACAGCACAGGGCTCTCTCTTGCATGGGCGCCCAGACCCCACTTCCCTTGCTGCTTCCGGGGTGCAAAATCGCTCCCCCAAGCCGTCCGCCCCTCGGGCTCGGGAGGAGAAGGTAACCTCGGAACTGGCGGCCTTGGGCGTCGGGGACGGTAAGTTTCCGCTGGCGTCTGCGGAGATGATCGCGGTCGCCACCCGGAGGGTGGAGGGGAGGGTGTGTACCACGCAGGCCAGGTAGCGCTCAGGACGGGGTGTGTCTGGTGCTCGGTAGTGATCGGAGGTGGAGTAGGGACTGCTTGTAGCATTGTCGCCCGCACCTCGCTCTTACCCTTGGGCAGTTTTGGGAGAGAGCATGCGTCCCACGGAGTATTTTCTCACTCTTTATGTTGGGAGCCATCAGAGTTGATACAAGCAACTCCATCTTAGAAAATACAACTCCATCTTGGGAGTTAAGTTCCCAACTCCTTACAACTCTCAGTCACCAGAGATCACGTGGTGCCCTGCGGCTTGGCCAGAAGCTAAAGATAACCTATCGTTTAACGACACATCCTGCTCCGGAAGATCCCCCCAACGCGTGGTCCGAGGTACGGCTCCGTCCTGGGAACACTTGCTGAGAGTCCGGCCGGACACCCCTTGAATCGCCGTGCAGTATTGACTCACGAGTGAAGACTCGTTTCCCTGATCGCCACGGTTTCAGCCCGCCCGTGAGACAGATCGACGAGAAAGGTAAGCAAGTGAATTTTTCTTGGTCAGGCATTTGAAAGAATCCCTCAAGACGCGAGGAGTAAGGGTTAGAAAAAAGGATCTTAGAGAACCTCATGTTCTGTACTCTCTAGTCCACTGAGAGCTTCCCCTTGGGGAAGAGTGAAGGGTACCCGAGTTTGGAAGAGAGGAGACTCCGAATCACTCAGGAAAGTCACCAATTATCAGCCGAACCGAAAGGCAACCTCTTGAAAACCCGGAGTTCACTATATCTTAGTGGTCGTCCTCCTGGCATGGGGCTTATACATCCCGACCTAGGATACGTGAACAGGGGCCTTTTTTAAAGGTTGACAGAGGCTAGCCAAGTAGGAGAAATCTGATAAGAAGGTAAAATCCTGAGCTGACCTGGTACGGGGTTTATACGTCCCGGAGGCTCACGTGGAAGAGAGGAAGGATCATGGGTCAGGCATTAAGTTCCCATGAAATAAAAATCATTGAAACGGGAGAGACAGCCCTTAAGGAGGCTTCCCGTCCCCCCTCGGTCTGTTCAGTTTCCATTGACATTCCTGACAAGCCTAAACAAGAAACTTCTCCCTTGGATACTGATCCCCCTAAAAACCCCCCACCCACCTCTAACATTTATCCCGCCCTTACCTCCTTCTCCACAAGACACTGCAATGACGAGTTACCCCCCGAAGATCAGGCTACCCTAGAGGAAGAAGCCGCCCGATATCATAACCCCGACTGGCCTCTCCTCGCCTCCGCCCCCCTTTTTCAGCCCCCTCCCTATATCAAACCCCTTCCCTCCTGTTTTAAACCCCTTCCCTCCAGAGACCCCTTCCTGGCCCCAATTTTAGAACCATTCCACACCCCTCCAGCTTGCTCGGATCACATCCGTCAAGCTAAAGTTACCGTAACTCAAGAGGTCTCATCCTTAAAAGAAATTCTCCGACTGCAGAGTGAGCATGTTCAACTCATTAAAGAAATCCAAGCCCTTGAGGCTGAACTCACCACTTTAACTCCTGCCCCTACAAAAACTACGGAAAAAAAGCCCCCTAAACCCTCTAAGCCCAAGCCTACTATCCATGCCTTCTTTGTCACCCGCAGCCAGAACCCCATATCCCCCTCAGAAGAGCAAGAGGAAGAAGAGAAAGACCCTCCCGATTCCCAGAACCAAGATCAAAACTCAGCCGATGAGGCTTCAGACACAGATGACCCTGTCCCAGATCAGCCCCAGGCTAAAGGCCAAAAATACCCCCGCTTAAACCTTAAACATTTAAAAGATTTAAAAGCAGCTGTTAACAGCTATGGTCCCACGGCTCCCTTCACCTTGACCTTACTTGAAAGCTTAAGCGATCGGTGGCTAACTCCCAATGACTGGCTTTCCTTAGCTCGAGCCACGTTATCCGGGGGTGAATATGTCCTCTGGCGTACAGATTTTGTAGAAAACTGCCGAGAAACGGCACAGCGCAATAGCGAAAGTAAAGTCTCCCGCTCGTGGACTCGAGACAAGCTGCTCAGTCGGAGTCCTTATGACACCAATGAGGCTCAGGCAGCCTTTCCCCCTGGTTTATTAGCTCAGATACAAAATGCCGGCCTTAAGGCTTGGTGGCGCCTTCCCCGCAAGGGTTCGGCCACCACCTCTTTGGCCAAGATTCGCCAAGGACCCGATGAACCCTATAGTGATTTTGTCAGCCGCCTAACTGATGCCGCTGAGCGATTAGTCGGGGAGGGAGAAACAGAAAACACCTTTATTAAACACCTCGCTTATGAAAATGCCAACCCATCTTGCCAGGAAACTATTAGACCTCACCGCTGCGGTAGCCTCTCTGATTCTATCAAACTCTGCTCAGGAATAGGAACCTCCCATGCCATCGGACTGGCCATAGGGGCCGCCCTTAAAGATTTTACTAAGGACAAAAAATACACAGGAAAAAACATGCTTCAATTGCAAACAACCTGGACATTTTGTTCGTGACTGTCCAACAGGGAAACAGTCCCGACCGCCCCCTTCATCAGTCTGTCCTAAATGCAGACGTGGCAAACATTGGGCAAATAAATGTCGCTCAAAAACAGACATTGAAGGTAAGCCCATTCCTCAGAAACGGGGAAACTTCCAGAATGGCCAGCACCTGGCCCCACCCCAGGAACAGAACCAAGGGGCGATCAGGTTCATTCCCCAGACTCAAAATCAAGAAACATCAGGTGTTACTCTCTTACCACTCCCCCATTTAGGTGTCAACCCAAGAGGCCTGCTCCCTAATGAAATCTGGCAAATGGATGTCACTCATATCCCTGAATTTGGCAAACTTAAATATGTTCATGTAACAATAGACACCTACAGTGGATTCATTTTTGCCACCCTTCACAGTGGTGAAGCTTCCAAGGACATTATAGCCCATGTCCTCCAGTGCCTCACCGTTATGGGAAAACCCCAAAAGATAAAAACAGATATCGGGCCTGGCTATACCTCACAAGCCTTCCAAACCTTCTGCCACCAATTTCAAATTAAACACATCACAGGTATTCCTTACAACCCCCAGGGGCAAGGAATAGTAGAACGAACTCATCAGACCCTAAAAAATACCATAAATAAACTTAAAACAAATGACATTTATTCCACAAAAGGCTCCCCCCGTAATATCTTAAATCATGCCTTATTCACCCTTAATTTTTTACTATTAGATAATAAAGAAAACTCAGCTGCAGACCGCTTATGGCACCAAGAAACAAAAAACCAATATGCAGCCGGGACCGGTTTGGCTCAGTGGATAGAGCATCGGCCTGTGGACTGAAAGGTCCCGGGTTCGATTCCAGTCAAGGGCATGTACCTTGGTTGCGGGCACATCCCCACTGGGGGGTGTGCAAGAGGTGGCTGGTCGGTATTTCTCTCTCATCGACGTTTCTAACTCTCTGTCCCTCTCAATTCCTCTCTGTGTAAAATCAATAAAATACATTTAAAAAAAAACCAAAAAAAAAAAAAAACAATATGCAAAGGTTATGTGGAAGGATCCCTTAACCTCCAAATGGCATGGTCCCAATCCGGTCCTCATTTGGGGACGGGGGTCTGCATGTATCTACGATACACAAGAAGAGGGACCACGATGGCTACCTGAACGCCTGATCAAACCCATTGACCCCCCTAAATAACAATCTCTCCTCCAGGGAATTACTCCCTGAGACAAATTTCTCCTTTTTTACAGGTCATGGCAACAACTACCCTGACCCTCCTCTTAATCCTGATATTGATCCTATCCTTCAGCCTCTGGGCTTTTCGGAGGTTAACAGATTTTGTAAAACAGCAGTTTGATAGCATCTTGGCCAAACCCATCCAAGTACATTACCACCATTTATCCATAGCTGACTGTGAGCAAGATTATGAACTTTACCATCGCTCCCTCCCTGCGGGGACAGCATGATGACCAGAGGAATGCTTACCTACTCCCCACTAAGGAGAAAGGTATGGGTACCGATCTGGGTGTGGAACAAAGCATCGCAAGGGAAGGTCCAAAAAAATTTCCGACCCCCTCTTCCCAAGGGAAGGTCACTGGAACATTTTGACCCCCTCTGGATTTCCCTGTGAGTATACCTGGTTTGCATAGAGGTTGGTATCAATACAAATCTAGTCGGCTCTGCCTCTCCTCCCCAAAAGATACCAAGAGCCACTACTAGCACTGGTGGGCCTGGGAAACCCACGGGAGGTACCAGGTCACTACTCCCCCAATCGGTTAAGGCCCACCCTCAATAAGACAAAGAGGGAGCAGATGTTGGGAGCCATCAGAGTTGATACAAGCAACTCCATCTTAGAAAATACAACTCCATCTTGGGAGTTAAGTTTCTAACTCCTCTTACAACTCACAGTCACCAGAGGTCACGTGGTGCCCTGCGGCTTGGCCAGAAGCTAAAGATAACCTATATCTTAAGGACACATCCTGCTCCAGAAGATCCCTACAACGTCCCTTCCCTGATCCTCCCTCCCTTCCATAGCCTTGGAATGTCCCCGCAGCAACCTCCCCCTACAGCCTGTATGTATATATTGCAGCTTCAACCATAAAATTCTAGGCTTGATCAGAACTCTGTCTTGCCTCCATTTCTTCGCGTCTCCTGTCCTCTATCATTCCCTTCTAGGTGCCTCCTCGCCCCCACGTTGATCTCCCGCTGGTCGGGACACCTTTAGGCAAAGCACAGCCGCTTCCTCCGCTAATGCATGTCAGGGCTTCACACCACTTTCTGGGTTTCTGCCCCGTAGCCTCGACATTTCAGTCCCCCGCTCCCGCTTAACTCAAACCAGCCCCTTGATCCATATGGGCATTTCAAATATAAATTGCCCCGTTTTTGTTTTGTTTTTTAGGTTTTTAGCTATTCAGTTCAAGAAATACCTTTCTCCTTGTCCTGATTTCCTTCCCCACCCTATGGTAATAGGACTGATTCACTGCTACTACTAGAGGCTTATTACTGTATCTGGTATTCCCCATTCGCTCCTCTCATGTATTTGGCATAATTTTCCCTGTCTACTCTTGTTGAAATACATTCTTCAAAAATGTTTTCCTCCATTTATTAGGTTTGCTTGAGTTTTTTGTTTGTTTATTTATTTACTTATTTTCTTAGAGAATTATCCATGTGAGATGGAAACATCCATTGGCTGCCCCTTGCACGCCCCCCTCACCGGGATCCAGCCCACAATCCTGACAGAAATCCAACCAGCAACCTTTCAGGTGCATAGGACAACACTCAACCAATTGAGCCATACCAGCCAGGACTAGAGTATTTTATACCTTAGGAATCCCCTATTAAAAAAAAAAGTTGAGCCAAGACCGGTTTGGCTCAATGGATAGAGCATTGGCTTGGGGACTGAAGGGACCCAGGTTCGATTCCTGTCAGGGGCATGTACCTTGGCTGCGGACATATCCCCAGTAGGGGGTGTGCAAGAGGCAGCCGATCGATGACTCTCTCTCATCGATGTTTCTAGCTCTATATCTCTCTCCCTTCCTCTCTGTACAAAATCAATAAAATATATTAAAAAAAAAAAGTTGATGTTCATAATAACTCAGGAGGTCAACAGGACTGGCATTGCACCCTCATTTTTTAGGTGAAGAAACTTTATACTCAACTATACTTAGTTGAGCAATTGTAACATAAAAATCACACAAATGGTAAATAGAAGAGATAAGATGTCCAGACTTCCAGTCCAGTCTCACATTACATGAAGAGTAAATATCCAAAACCGGTTTGGTTCAGTGGCGAGTGTCAGTTTGTGGACTGAAAGGTCCCCTGTTCGGTTCTGGTCAAGGGCATGTACCTTGGTTGTGGGCACATCCCTGGTAGGGGGTGTGCAAGAGGCAGCTGACCAATGTTTCTCTTCTCATTGATGTTTCTAGCTCTCTACCCCTCTCTCTTCCTCTCTGTAAAAAAATCAATAAAATATATATTCAAACAAAGTAAATATTAGTTAAGACAGTAGACCAGGTGTCGGCAACCTACGGCTCCAGAGCCGCATGCGGCTCTCTTGAAGCATTGCCGCGGCTCCCAGCAGGGCTGACACTAGGAGGGCCGATAGCAGGGGGCCGGCGGGGAGCTGTATCCCTTACCTCCGCCCGCCTCCGGCGCTCCCAGCGCTCTGTGTGGCAGGTTGCAGGCGACTTAGCCTCGCTAGGCAACCACAGCGTCCCTGTCCTGGCCCAGCCTCCTTCCACTCTCACTAAAAATCAATGGAAAATAAATTAATGCCATATCTACAAATGTGGATACTCTAAAAAGTGATGGATGTGGTCATTCAGATTGTTAATAAGATAATGGCAAAGGGTTTAAACCACTGCCAGTTCCGTTTGCTATTGGATGAGGTGGAAAGCATATGTTCTGACCTGCTCCACAACAAGGTCCGGTGGCTGTCCAGAGGCGAGGTGCTAAAATGCTTTGTCGCATGTTTGGAAGAAGTAAAAACTTTCCTGGCCAGAAAAGAGCTCACCTTTGCTGAGCTGGAACAACCAGAGTGGCTGGAAAAATTACATTTTATGGTAGACATGGCAGCACATCTAAACACACTAAATACAACCCTTCAGGGGAAAGGAGGCACAGCCCTGCACATGCTGGAGGAGGTTTTAGCAAGTTGACAGTGTTTGTCAAAGATTTACAGAGAGGTACACTGTCTCACTTTCCCTCTTTGATAGAGTTCAAACAAAGTCCTGATACGATAAATTTGGGATATTTGAAGTCTGCAATCACCACAATGCAAAGTTCGTTTGGGAAACGATTCTGTGAGTTCAGAGAGGAAAAAACCACATTATCCTTCCCTGTCACTCCCCTGGCGATTAATCCATCCCTATTGAATATGACTGCATTTGCAGGTGTAAGTCAACCTGATCTTGAGATGGAACTGGCCGATATAGCCGACAAAGATATGGGTGTCCAAGTTCAAATGCTTGACCACCTCTCTTGAGGATGTTGCCCGTCAGAAGGCCATTCTGGCTCAGAATCTTAAATGGAGTGATATTGAAAACCTTCCCAAAGAGGACAAACTTGTATTTGAAACATGGAATGCCACCTCCAACACTTATATAAACATAGAAAAAGTATGCATTTGGAGTCCTGTCGATCTTCGGCTCCACATATGTATGTGAGCAGGTCTTCTCCAACATGAAATATATTAAAAACAAACATTGATCACGCCTCACAGATGGCAACTTGCAAGGCTGTGTGAAAATGAAGGTAACATCTTACAGCCCTGATGTGCAGACACTGTGCACTGAGGTTCAGGAGCAAAAATCCCATTAACCAGGTAAATTAAATATTTTAATTAGCTATTAATTTGCAAAAATTATTTTACATTGTTAAGTGAAAAAGTCCTTTTTTTCTTCAGATTGACAGCTAACTGCACGATCTGGTATATATTATAGCATTAAGGTAAGAAACAATATATGCAGTGTTATATTTGTTTTAAATGTCGCAATGGTTTTGCGGCTCCCAGGTTTTTTTTTTCCCTTCGGAAACGGGTCCAAGTGGCTCTTTATGTCTTAAAGGTTGCAGACCCCTGCAGTAGACCCTGGCTCTTTGCAACTTTGAGCCAATTAACTTCCCCATATGAAAATTTATTAGTAAAATGGGAATAATAAATAGCACCTACTTCACTGGGTAATGCTTCTTTGAGGATAAAGGATGATAATACCTGCAGAGTACTTAGAACAAACTTTGGCAAATAATAAGCCTTAATAAGTGTTAGCAATTTTACCATATCAATCCCTAATGAGATGGAAGTCTCATGCTATACACCTTACTTATAAAGCACCCACTTAATCACATAAGTAGGGCTCATCTCAGAAGTATCATGGGTGTGGAAAGCAAATATTTTTTACTCTCAACATTCCAACTATCTTTGGCTTAATTTTTATTTCACTGGCCATCCAACCAAATAAACATATAAAAACTGTTAAGAACACTTGGCTGGGCCAAGACCGGTTTGGCTTAATGGATAGAGCGTTGGCTTGGGGACTGAAGGGTCCCGGGTTCGATTCCGGTCAAGGGCATGTACCTTGGTTGCGGGCATATCCCCAGTGGGGGGTGTGCAAGAGGCAGCTGATCAATGACTCTCTCTCATTGATGTTTCTAACTATCTCTCTCTTTCTCTCTGTACAAAATCAATAAAATATATTAAAAAAAAAAAAAAAAAAACACTTGGCTGGGACTGGAGATCAGAGAGGAAGGGAGAGGGATAGGGACTTAGAAACATCGATGAGAGAGAAACATTGATCAGCTGCCTCCTGCACACCCCCTATTGGAGATATGCCTGTAACCAAGGTACATGCCCTTGACTGGAATCAGAC